TACTAGTGCCAAGAGCATGGAGCCAATTGACTGTGGAGCCAAGCAAACTAAAGCTGTGAACAATCTCAATCTCTTCACCATCCATCCTGGTGCTGCCAATTGGCCCAGTGGTGAGAATCTTTGTCTTCTTGACATTGACCCTCAATCCATATTGGAGGCCGCAGTCCTTGACCCTCTTCAGCAATTTTATGTGCTATACATCAGAGAGTTGCACAGTGAATAGAGATGATAGATAGAGAATTGATGCCTTTGAGCTGCGGGGCTGGGGCTGGGGAAGAGTGTTGAATATACCATAGACTGCTAGGAGAGCAAATGGGTTTGTTCTGGAGAGGGTGAAGCCAGAATATTCCTTGGAGTCAAGGATTCAGAAGCTTCATTTGACATACTTTGGGCATGTTGCAAGGAGGGACCGGTCCTTAGAGAGGGACATCACATTTGGGAAAGTGGAGGGACGGCACAGGAGAGGAAGTCCCTTGATGAGATTGATCAATTCTGAGTGAAGTGGTGGGAATGAGTGTGTTTGAGATGGCAAGACTGGCACAGGATAGTGCTCCATTTAGGGCTCGTGTACATAGGGTTGCTATGAGTCGCAAGTGACTCGATGGCACATAACAACAACAGTAATATTGGATTGTGTTGTACATGTAGATTGCTTTTGGTAGGATTTTAATTTTCACAATATTTAGTCTTCGATCCATGAAAAAGGTATATTTTCCATTTTATTTAGGCCTTTTATTGTGTCTTACAAAAATATTCTGTAGTTTTCTGTATAGGTATTTTGTGTCTCTAGGAAGGTTCACTCTTAACTATCTCAATTTGTGGTCAGCTATTGTACATGGTTGGAGGAATGCAGATGACAGAACCCCACTTGCTGAAACTGAGGAGGTCCTGAAGTGCTTACTGCAGGAGGTCAAGGACTGCATACTTCAATAATGATTGAAGCTCAACATCAAGAAAACAAATATTCTTACCACTGGACCAATTGGTAGCATAAGTATGGATGGTGAAGATATTGAGATTGTTAACAATTTTAGTTTGCTTGGCTACCCTATCAACCCTCCTGGTACCAGGAGCCAGGAAATCAAGAGACGACTTGCATTGGGAAAGTCTGCTGCCAGGGACCTCTCCAGAGTACCGAAGAGCAATGACATCAGGCTGGAGACTAAGGTGCACCTGATCCAGGCCATAGTCTTCACAATAGCGTGCTATGTGTCAGAGAGCTAGACAGTGACTAGGGATGATAGAAAGAGAATCGATGACTTTGAGTGGTGGTGCTAGAGAAGAGTTGAATATACCATCTAGTGCTAGAAGAACAAACAGGTTCATCATGGAAAGGGTGAAACTGAGCTGCTCCTTGAAGGCAAAGATTCTGAAGCTTCTTCTGGCATACTCTGGGCATGTTGCAAGGAGGGACCAGTCCTTGGAGAGGGACATCATGTTTGGGAGTGTGGAAGGACAGCACAAGAGAGGAAGACCCTCGATGAGATGGATTGATTCAGTGATTGGGGTAATAAGAGTAGGTGTGTCAGAGACAGTGATGTTGGCACAGGATAGAGCAGGGTTTAGGACTCTTGTACATAGGGTTGCTATGAGTCACAAGCGACTTGAAAGCACATAACAACAAGAACAATTGTAAGTGATGTCAGGAGTGGCATCCTATTTCTAAACATCGTGTCTTGGAAACTATATGAACTTTGATAAACGACAAGAGTCATAGGCTTCAGGACTTTTGTTCATAGAGTCACTATGAATTATTCTTGCCCGACTACAATAAAAAACCACCATCATACTATAATTGGTATTGCGTTCTTGGTTTCCTTCTCTGAGTTCTCTTTGTACTGTAGAGGAATCCCACTGATTTCTGGATATTGATCTTATATCCTACCACACTACTAAATTGGTCTACTAGCTTTAACAGTTATTTGATTGGGTCCTTGGAGTTTTTTGTGTACACTATCATATTATCTGCATATACTTATATTGTAACCTTCTCTTTGCTGATATGGATGCCTTTTATTTCCTTCTGTATTATTGCCCTAGCAAGCACTTCCAATACAATATTCAACAGAAGTAGTTAGAATGGGCATCCTTTTCAGGTTCTTGTTCCCATGGAAAATGCTTTTAGACTTTCTCTACTAAGAATGATATTGGCTCTTGGTTTTGCATATATACTTTTGTCTATGTTGAGGAAATTATCTTCTATTCCAATTTTGCTGAACGTCTTCATCAGAAAGGAGTGTTGGATTTTCCCTGATACCTTTTCTGAATTAATTGCTGAGGTCATGTGGTTCTTGTTATTTACTTTGTTAATATGATTGATTATATTGAGTGTTTTTCTTATATTGAACCACCCTTGCATACCTATTATGAATCTCACTTTGTCATGGTGAATTATTTTTGTTATGTGTTTTTGGATTCTACTGGCTAGGAATTTGCTAAGGATTTTTGCATTTATATTCATGAGAGATATTGGTCTGTAAGTTGCCATCTCATGGTCACTTGTGGTTGCTGTGAGACTGAACACTGTGACACGAATGTGTCAAATGCGTTAATGGTTGGCTACCCAATGCAGACAGAGAGTGGGGTGGAGTTCCCCGATTAAAACAAGCGTGGAAGGAGGAGTGGTATCCACTTCCATAATAGCTTGTCTCCGGAAACCCTATGAACCTGGAGAGAGGATGAAAGGCACCCAAGCATCAAGGACTCTCCTTCATAGGGTCGCTATGACTTGCCTGTGACTCGACGGCACTTAACAACAACAACAGAAATTGGTCTGTAATTTTTTTACTTCATAATATATTTGCTTGATTTTGGTATTAGCACTATGCTTGGTTAGTAGAATGACTCTGAGAATGCTCCTTATTTTTTAATTCTTTAAAATAATTTAAGTAGAATGGATGCTATATACTCTCTGTATGTTTGGTAAAATTCAGCTGTGAAGCACCTGGTCGAGGACTTTATGGGAAAGTCTTTTAAGAACTGTTCAATTTCTTATTTGGTGATGCATCTACTCAAGTGTTCTATATCTGCCTTTGTAAATCAGGATAGGGCATGAATTCCTAGGAATTTATACATTTCCTCTAGGTTTTCTAATTTATCCAAGTCTACATTTTCATGGTATCCTAATATTATCAATTTAAATTCATCCGATACTTTTGTGATGCCTAATCTATAATTTCTTAATTTAGTTGTCTAGGCCTTCTTTTTTTTAACCTTTTTGTTAAGTTTGCCAGTGGTCTGTCAATTTTATTGACACTTTTGAAAATCTAGCTTTTGGTCTTATTGGTGGTTTCAATTGATTTGTTTTGTTTTTTTTTAAATTTAGGTTGTTTATTTTTCATTTCAATGAACATCTACAGAGATTTTGGGATTCCATTCATTCATTGTTGCACCCTTCCCCGCACAAACTCCTCTCCTTGAAAAGCAAAAGAAAAAGTCCCTCATTGGTTTCAATTGTTTTTATGTCTCTATCTCATTGATTTCAGGTCCTGCCCTTATAATTTCTTTTCTTCTATAGGCTGTAGGATTAGATTGGTATTCTTTTTCTATTGGTTTAATCTATTGAGTTAGTTAGTTGATTTTTCTACTTTCTTCATTTTTTTATGTTTATTACAATGAACTGTACCCTAAGGACTGCCTTAGCTGCATCCCAGAGGTTTTGAAATGTTGTATTTTTTAAAAGAACTTTTTTATTTCATTCTGCATGGTTCAAAATGAGGAAGGGTGTATACCAGGGAGTATGCCAGGGATGTGTCCTATCTCCATAACTTTTCAATCTATATGCAGAACAGATTATCCAGGAGGCTGAGTTCTATAAGGAGAAATGTGACATCAGGATTGGAGGAAGACTCATCAACAATCTGAGTTATGCAGTTGTCACACAGTGCTTGCTGACACAGAGAGGGACCAGAGGCACTTGCTCCAGAAGGTCATGGACTGCAGCCTTCAATATGGATTGAAGCTCAATATCAAGAAAACAAAGATTCTTACCATTGGGCTGATTGGCAGCTTTGTGATGGGTGGTGAACAGATTGACATTGTAAAGAGCTTTAGTTAGCTTTGCTCCACAATCAACATTCTTGACCCTAGCAGCCAGGAAATTAAAAGACGTATATGCAAAGAAGTTTATCCAAGAGGCTGGGCTCTATGAGGAGATGCGTGGCCTTAGGGTTGGTGGAAGATCTATCAACAACCTGCGTTATGCAGATGACACAACCCTGCTTGCTGAAACTG